GTCGTCCCACTTGCAAACACGGGCAGACGTGGATTTAGTGCTGGACATCCGTGGTATGGAAGCCGATAAAATGGCTGCAGAGTGCCAAAAATGCTTGAGCTGGGAGAGAGAAGTCAATGCCACAGTCCTGAAGCCGAAACACGCGGGTTTTCGCGCGGTCTGCTCGAGAAATTGTAGTCGGATGTCGTCCATTTGCGAGGCATGAAGAATCGGGGTTGGTGGGGTTGGCTCGATGTCTGGACCTTCCAGAGGGTTCTCTGGCACAGGCTTTGAAGGTTCAATAAGGTTTTGCGGGGCAAACGAGCACGGTGAAACAAGCGTGGTCGAGGAAAGAGAAAGGGCAGCTAACACCGTGACGTCACGGTTACCTGCCAGTCACAATGTTACCTGCCATCGTCTCATTGTAGCCTATTAAGCACAGTTTCTGCGGATCTGAAGACAGAGAATCAATCTGATTTCTTTTTAAAGGCTCTCTGATTATTTAGAGGAATCATTGAGTACCGGAAGGAGACGAAAATGCGAAATGGCAGCTAACAGCACAGCCACATGGCAGGTAACAGCCCAGCTGATCGAGTCATGAACCAATGAGAATGAGCCCGAAATGCGAGTGACGATGGAATGATGGGGTGGCAGTGCTATGCTGACTAAGAGAGTCGAGCAGCGTGGAGAGCAAGTGGAAGACGAGCACAGTGGCGGCGACACAGAAGAGCTATATGCCCGTAGTCCTCGACAGTGAGAGGTATATGGTCTTGATGTAGACGGAAGAATGAAGCTCAAGGAGCAAAACTGAGCTGGATGCTCGAAGATGTAGTGAATTTGTGTTTTTGTCTACTTGAATTCCGACTGTGCCCACATCTCTCCTGGATTGCTCGTGTAGCTCGCAGAACCGCTGTGGCACTTTGGGCTCGACAGGGTGTATCTGGGCGGTTTACGGCGTGTTCCGATTCGGAGATGATGCTGGTAAGAGCGAAGGAAGTGGAACAAGTGGGAAAGATGGAGTAAGATGGAGCTAATTTTGTGCTCTCGGCGCGGCGGTGTGGATCACAGATCTCCACGGGTACCGTAGCAATACGCGGTCACACGCCTCGACGGAACGCCGCTCCAAGTCGAACCCGACCACAACGCACGTACTAGAGGCTTGTAAACCAAATTAATAGCGCGGAAATACGCATTTGAAGCTGCAGAGGACCCGAATGTTGTCTTGGCTAGAACAGGAAGCGAGGAACGGCCAAACTGATTGAGCGGCTGCGTTTCTCGACCAAGCACCTGGCACAACCATACGTTTGTAAGCCACTAATTCCCTCGACGATGATGTATTCCTGCTGATGCGCACGGCCCCTCGGCTCAAGCATACGCGTCGTCGCACCGAGACTTGTCTCGCTTCTCGATCTGGTATATATTCTAAATATACCCGGAGGGGACAGTCAGATCCCCCATTCAGATCCCCCCATCCCCCCATGAAGTTCAACCCCTCTACAGACATTCCTGACCTCTCTGGCAAAGTCATTCTCGTCACTGGAGGTATGTACGTGCAGTGCCAATTCTACCTCTAATTCACGTCCTGACGCTTTACGCTAGGAACGGCAGGAATTGGCAAAGAGTCCGTACTCGCTCTTGCGAAGCATAATCCAGCATGCATTTATTTTACCGGTCGCGACTCTGCGCGAGCAAATCAAGTTATCGCAGAAATCAAGTCTTCGGCACCTTCCGTCTCCATCGTATTCCTCGAATGTGACCTCGAATCTTTGGCGTCCGTCGAGAAGGCAGCGAAACAGTTCATTTCCAAATCCGACCGCCTCGACATTCTCATTTGCAACGCGGGTGTCATGAACGTTCCTCCTGCCTTGACCAAGGACGGCTATGAAGCTCATTTCGGAATCAACCACGTCGCGCATGCATTGTTCATCAAGCTTTTACTCCCGACCCTTCTTCGCACCGCCGACGCGCCGGGCTCCGACGTCCGCGTAGTCTCTTTGACGTCGCAGGGGTTCGCTATGCATCCTCGCGGAGGCATATTATTCGACGACCTGCGCACTACCCAGGGTTCGGGACTGATGAAGTCCCTGCGCTACGGTACATCGTTTGCTATCCTGACGCAACATACCTTGATAATATCCACAGGGCAGAGCAAACTCGCTAACATCCTTTACGCCGCCGAAGTGGCCAAGAGATACGGGCCTAAAATCACTTCGGTGGGGGCTTAATTCTTTTTTCAACGCGACCATCATCTCATTGCGCGAGGCAGGTTTCTATTCATCCTGGTGTTGTTCGAACGGATCTCCTCGCTCAACAGGGTGCTTTGATGAGGACACTAGCGTGGTTGACTCATCCGTTTTCGATGCTGACGCCCGCCGAGGGTGCTTACAATCAGTTGTGGGCTGCGACGGGAGACAAGACGAAGATAAAAAACGGGGAGTACTACGAACCTGTGGGAGTTCCTGGTGGCCATATGCGTATGTCCCGCGATCAGAAGTTGACGGCGCAGTTATGGGAGTGGACTGAGAAAGAGCTGGAGGTGTATCACATTTGATGTTTGCTATTCTCGTATTTCATGCTTTCCCAGCGCCGCGGATGGTTCTTTACAATAAGTACCCAATCTGCTATGTATGACGGACCAAACGTGGCATACTTTAGGTTATATATTTTCCCCATGGCTCGGTTTCCTTCAGGTACATTCCATGTAGATGGGCCCCCCGAGCCAATTTCGGTTGTAGGCGGCCACATAACCTTACATATTGAAAGAGGGCATCATGCAAGGTGTTCCAGGGATGACATCTTCCATCGCACAAAATTTCAACCACAGTAGAACTGTGCCGGCGAAACCCGGATCCGGAACCAACCCATGTCACCTTCACGGTGCAGCAGACATCTACGAGATCTGGCTCAACCGAGCTGGGGTATTCAAGCATCCTCCCTTTCCACATAGATCTGTTCCAAGACTGTCATTGAACAGCGAATTAACGGTCCGAATTGAATCGACTTTGACGCAGAGGTCGGGATCTCAAATTTGCGGCTTCGAACCCGCTGTCACTGGACGATCTCGGACTCGGAACTGACAAACCCAAACACCGCTGCCACGGCCAGCGCACGATTCGAACGGCGACCAAGCCGAAACAAAGCTCGCCTCGACGCCGTCTGTTAACGTTGTTCCAAAATGCATTAATTGCGAGTGTCCGGGGCCGCGCTGAGGCTAATGCCAGCTAATGAACGCCTTTCTTTCATTGTGCAAATGAACGCCCGAGGAGTATTGCAGCAGCGCAAGTTGAGGACGCGGTTCCGCGCGGGGCGGTCCCTTCGTGCGGATTCCAGATGCGCAGATGTGCATAATGATGATAGTTTGGATATGCGTTATGCGTATGCGTAGAGTTACAGTGTAGGTGTAGGGTGTAGCCATAAGGAGTAGAGTCTAGATTCCAGAGTCGCGGGCCCGCTTTTTTCGTGGGAGGGCGAGTATAATACGTGCGATGGAAGGCCCGGCGCGTGAGTAACTTGCACTCGGGCATTAACCCGAGTGCAAGTGGCCGTGTATCGAGTCGCGGGAACTTCATGTTCGCGGGTGAAACGGGGACCTCGTAGGTTAAGATAGAGCGTTCATAAAGCTAAAGCCCATTAAGAGCTTTGACCATTGTCACTCGGGGTAGCACGCAGTACTCACAGGTGACCGCAAAGCCCCCCTTGGCCGTGGGCCAAGGACTCACTCGAAGGTGAGCTTGTCGCGCGAGTTGATGCCGCGCGCCGGCACCGGCTCCGCAACGTTCTCCCCGTCCACCAATTCCAGCCCGTCCATCTCATCAAACTCGTTTCCCTCCAGCAACTCCATCCCATCCGCATCCTCCTCCACAAACTCCACCCGCCTTGCCGCGCTCCCGTCCGCCCTGCTCTGCATCACCGCCCTTGCCTCCATGCGCTCCCGCAGCGCGGTGAGCGACAGATACTGCGCCTTCGCCTCCGCCTCGCGCTTCATCAGCTTCGCGCGCTGGCCGCCCGAGGGCGCCCAGCGGCTCTTGAGAATGCGGCGCACGGCCTCGGGGGAGACGCGGAAACGCTCCGCGAGGACGGGCGTGGTGAAGCGCTCGGGGTCGACGCGGTGCAGCTGGCGCAGGCCGTCCATCGCCTCGCGCGAGAGCTTGCGCGGGGGGTTCCACCCGTCGGGGAAGGTGTGCCGCAGGGCCGCGCGGTGGGCCTGCCAGGAGACGGGCGTGGGCTTGAGGGACGGGCCCGTGCGGTGGGCGGAGGGGGCGCGCCGGCCGTCGCGGTCGACGGCGGCGTTGTCCTCGGAGAGGTCGACGGGCGTGTTGTCGTCGTCGAGGATGGACCGGGCGGAGCGGGTCGTGTGCCGGCGGGCAGGCAGCGCAGACGTGCTGGCCCGCAGACTGCCTCGCCCGGGAACGATGTTGGCGCGCAACGCAAAAAACATTGATCGGCACAGCCACGTCGACCGGCAAACTCCGAGCGGTTTCAACCACAAGTTGAACCCAACAATTTCGAATTATCGAGCCACTCTGGACACTCTCAATTGCTGGAATTACATAATGACTCAATTGCTGGAATCAATGACGCGATTACTTATGCGATAAGAGCTCGAGTAACCACTTCCACCTCCGAGTCGATGAATTGTCGGCTTACTTATGTAAGTATTCTCCGAGTCAATTTCTGCGGCGGAAAAAAAACGTACGACCCAACCTCGAATCCTCGATTCGAACGAGAGTTCCTTACGGAATATAGTTGCCAGGAAGCGCATATATAGCAGGTGCACTGAAATTGTACTGAGCCCGTGCACATGCATTTCATTCCAGTGGAAAAGTATCAGTGTGGGTAGGCCTTGTGTGAATAATCCAACGTTGACGGGTTCAGCGAGTGAGCCGACCCAGGAACGAAACTGAAGCTGGGCTCCTGAAAGACTTCAGCGTACAACGCGGCTGAACATATAGTGCGCATAAATGGCGGAAAACAAAAAGAGGAGCCCGCCAATGACAAGAAACAGCGATGCTGACATGGAATGACCCAGCTTCGGTTCGAACGAGAGTCTCCCACTGAATCTACATCCAAGCATACCCGATGCTAGTGGGTGCACTACCAACTGTGCCTTTGGGTCGACACATGAACGCTGCAAGCTAGGGACATCGATCGGAGATAGGGACTTCTGGGAAAAATCCAACCTCCAGCGAAAATCAACGGCACAACAAGAGGAGTAGACAACGTAGCCCTAGCTAGCAGGCAAAAGGAAAAAGCGAGTACCAACTGCTACCTACTAGTAGGTATGGCCCATGACCCAACCTCGGTTCGAACGAGGGTCTCCCGCAGAAGAGACCGGTGGCGGAAAAACACGTTCCGCGGGCGCACTAACCAACTGTGCTAATGGGTCGACATAAAAACCACGTTTCGATGTGAGGTCATCGAACAATCCGACTAGAATACCGACATGCAACGCAAAGCGAGACGGCTTTCGCATTCTAGCCGCGGGCGACGACTCTATGGTTTTCCACAGGAATTAATTTGATGCACAGTTCCTCAAAAGCCGCTTCAAATTCCCTCTCCTAGCGGAATTCAGCGTCCTTTTCAAGGCGTCCGAACGAAATGAGTTGAGTCACCGTGATAAAGCGGTTGAGCGGAAAATGGTTTATCGTGCAGACCTGTTCTATTCTGGAGCAGTACCAGTGCGGATAGTGACTTGTGCGAACAAGCCAACGTTGGCTAGTTTATCGGTCGAACAAGCGTGAATGGCACGAAAAATATAAAACCCCGTCAGTGGACAAAAAAGTATTTTCGAAGGCTTAAATGACCCAACCTCGACTCGAACGAGGGTCTCCCACGGAATTTCAACACAGGCACATCGACGGTGGGCGCACTAGCCGCTGTGCCATTGGGCCAACAGTCTGGGGGATCGATCAGATAAGTTATTATTATAAGAGGAGCTTCTCGAAATGACCATGCCGACTTGCAACGGAAAGATGATAAAGGAAAGTTTCGCTTTCCGTCGCCAGCGGTGGTCGCTGTAAGCGAGCACGAAGACTCCTGGACGCAGGCGGAGGAGTGGTCATCATGCGCAAGGAGTATAGAGACGCATGGACAGCCAGCTGTGAAAGCGGGTAGAAGACGGTGCTGTATTAACAAGCCCCGACCAAGTCCGTATCACTTCAGATTGAGTCCCTGGCGTAAACCATTCGGACGAATTCAAGCTAGTCTTGACACAAAACCGAGGAAGACCATCCCAGCCTGAGATGCAGAGCAGAGATAGTGAAAGCGTTTGGCTAACTGCGTGCAGAACCAAAGGCTCATAAGATTAGCTGAGCGCCGAGCTGTTGAAGCGCATTTCGTGGGAGCCAAGGTTCGACCTGGATCGTTCCGGGTTCGACTTGTTGACGGCATCTGCGAACATAAGCCAGCATTATGGACTGCCCGCTCGTCCGGGAATTCCTCCTACGGTCTCCTTCAGGTATCGTGTGCCGTTCTCCATCAACGACAACAAATCTCCTTTCCAGACAGACGGACTTGCAGTTACTCGGAGCCCAGTTCCAGTGGACCTTCTGCAGCCCAAGCCGTTCTTTGGAGAGCGTCCGAATGAGTGGTTGACAAGTTGGTTGAGCGGAAGAAGAATTGCACAGCCGCATTTGCCGATCACCCACTGCTTTCGATCAAGCGCTCACAGCGAAAACCTCCTCTCCTTTGCTCTCCTCTGCTCCTCCCGCTCTCTCCCTTGTTGTTATAATAAATGGCCGACGTCAGCGCTCCCGCCATCGACGAGGGTCCGTCGCCGCCGCCGCCTCTGTATCCCGTGTCCTCTAATACTCTCACTCTTATGGCAACCAGCTTATCAGGATGTGCGCTCCGACAAGACAGACACCAACTGGCTTTTGCTCGACTATGAGGTGTCTCCCTTCCCCTATGCTGCCCGCCCACTGGATCGCCCCGGATTCACCTGGCTTGGCGCTACTTGAGAGTGTTTATTTGAGTGACTGACGACCCCGCAGAGCGACCGCTCCGACAAGCTGCAACTGACCTCGACGGGCAAGGGCGGGCTGGCGGAGCTGCGGGACGTCCTTGACGACGGCAAGGCGTCCTTCGCCTACGTGCGTGTAGCGTACTCCAACGACAAGGAGTCCACACGGGAGAAGTTCATACTCGTGGTGCGTCCCTCCGAGGAGCGGTAGTGCGCATTGTGTGTGGTTCTAAATCTTGGCTGGGACACAGGTGTGGATCGGCCCGCAATGCAAGGTCATGCGCAAAGCCAAGGCGCGTCGTGGTCCTGTCCATTCACTGCACCTCCGCGTACTGATCACTTTCGCATCGCACAGATCTCCGTCCACGCCGCCGACATCAAGAGCGCGCTGCGCGTCTACTCCATCGAGGTCGCCGCGCGCGAAAAAGACGACCTCCTCGAGGACCCCATCGTCGTACGGCTCCGGAAGGTGCGATGCGTTTTCCAATCGCTTTCGACTTTCGCCTTCGCCTTCGGCTTCGACCTTCGCATTTGCCCCGTTTCCCCATCTCTTCCATCTTGTACTTCGCCCGACCGCCTCCCATCCTCTCCACCATGCCCCTCCTCTCCCAGTCCACCATGCCCACACGCGCTCTTCCCCGCCCGCATTTTTCTTTGCAGCTACATATATCTTCCCCCCAATTCGCATTTTTGGCACCACCACCGTACATCTCCTCGCATCCAACCCTAAAACCTTATTCCCCTCCCCTCTTTACTCCCTCGTATTGCTTCGCTTCCTTCGCCTCGCGTTGCGTACCCCCGCTGACGGCATCCCTCTCTATGGCGATCTCGTACTCTTACTCATTACATGTACAGGCCGGCGGCGCGAGCTACGACGGCGTATAGCGCATCTCTCTCCTCTCTCATTTCGGATGGGCAAAGCGGGGTGTAGGAGGGGCGAGTTGGGGCACGGGGTGGGCACAAATTGGGGTCTTTGGGTGGTGCGGGGCAAGGGGTACATAATCGGCTGGAATACAGAATACAGAATACAGAACATCATACACCATACACCATACAACGGCGAGAGAGAATATTTACCCTTTAGCCATTTTGTACACATAAACGCTCAACGGGGCTCCGCTGGGGCCAACGCCAGGGGTCCGAATGACGAGAGTGAGGTTGAGTCGGGTGAGGTGAAGAGGTATCGACGATTCGAGGGTCTTGAATCCCGGGCCACGGCGGCGATCTTGAGAATATATGACATGGGCGACGATACTTGACAAGTTATCAAAGGATTTGCGGCCCGGGCGCGCCAAGCCTGGGGAAAGTCAGAAAGCACAAGTCAGAAAGTAGGGCTGTGCTAGATAGTTAATAGCAGGTGCTATGCTATGCTACAAATGCCAGGCCCTGGGGGACATAACTAGCGCGTGTTAATAGCTGCTATTTAGCAGGCCGGCCCTTCCGGCCCGGCCCGCTAATCACAGTTATCCTCGGCAAAAAACTGATAAATAGGACGCTAGACATGCTTAAGCCTTGGGTGGCAGTGGGGCAGAGCGGAAGGCATCCCAAAACATATGTTTGCCATTTTTTTGGGAAGGGGATCCAGCCAGAAGCAATAAAATACACGCAAATGAGCTAGGGAGACGCCAGCTGGTGCTTGAATATATAGCAATTAATAGCAGGCCTTTCTGGAGGGTCCCAGCTAGAAATGCTAATAACGTGTTAATAGCATGCTATTATAGCTATGTTATTAACATCGGAGTTTCTAACCCAGCCCTATCAGAAAGTGAATCTGAAGGGAAAGGGGAAGATTATTGGGGGACGAAAATCCGGGGAGGACTTCGCGCGCACGGACCAGGTTGAAACGAACCATCCTCAAAGTTGCCAAATCCTGCCAGTGGCAGTGGGATGGCCACGACGCCCACTGGCAAAGTCAGGCTGAGGTACGTCGCCGAAAACTTCACTACAGTTCGTTGACGGCAACGCGAGGCCAGAGAGGGCCAGAGACCGAGAGACGCAATTTGTCGGACCCCGAACCCCAAGACAACTTCCCGGACGGGATGCTGGAGGATTAGTGTCCGATCCTTGAAATCCGACGCCAGTCCATTGTCAGCTTCCAGAAATCTCAGCAGCATTGCTGCATGGCCCCAGGGCGATGTTCGAGAAGCTCATTGACAAGAGTGAGGGGGTGAATGGGTGTAGCCTCCCATACTCCACACGCCGTCAGGTCTGCCCGGAATGCTCAAAGCTACAAGTCCCCGCCAGTGCGCCGCCACCGGCGTCGGAAATTGTCTGGCGACATGAGAGGAAATGAGGGATGCAGCTTCGTGAAGCTTGTGTGGCTTGTTCTACGGCCTTGCTATAGGCGCGTCTCCGTGGATATATCGTCCGGGGCCATATCGCGGTGAGTATATCCTGCCAGCGAGTGGAGTCATGGGCGTTCTTTGTTTCGTTATAAGATCTCGGCGCGCCTCCCTAATTTGGAATACAGTGGCATTGGTTCACTTTTCTCTTCCTGACTATACCATCACACATATCTCAAGCTCTTCCTCCTTCCTCCTTCCTCAGCCTGCTTGTACTCGTGCAGCATGAACAGTTCAGCTTGGGCAATCGATATGATCGTCGTAGCAGCCGGCGAGACGCGTCTCGCTGCGTATGTTGAACAAGTACGTGTTTAGTGGTGCCACCTAAAGACCACAATAGCGATGCCACCCACTCTAGACATTCCCAGAGGTGGCAGGACTCGGATATTATACCGCGGAGAATGCGGTGGACTGGCTCGATCTCGACGCGTTCACGCGCTTCCTTGCCCAACCACTGGCGCAGAAGAATTCACAGTCCACGACACTGCAAAATGCCACTCCAATTTGTGCGGTGCGACCGTCTGAGCAAAGCCGTCAGTCTTGTGAGCCAACTCGAGGACGCGTCAGAACTCGGAGAGACGAGAATTAGTGAGTGTCTCCTTGGTTGATTTCCGCGCGCGGCGTTCAACCATGTCTCATTTGCCGTTAGTAAATGAGACGAACGCGAATCCAAGTCTGCGAGGGTTGATACTGACAAGAAGGACAAAATTGCGGCGTAGAAGTGCTCGATGCGGCTGAGAAACGGAAACCATTTCAACTGTACAATTTAGAATCGTTATTACACGAATTCATGCATATGGACCATCCCACTGCTGCTGCTGTTCTCTCGAAATTTGCGCGCACCGCCTTGCGCTCTCCAGCGGGAAATTTATGAATCATAGTTGAGAGCTGCACGGCTAGTTGGTGGGTTTCAAACTCCAGGTTCTGCACTTGTCAAACATTGCGCTGCATATTTAAAGAACACTGAGAACAGGACGCGTTAAATCAAAGATACATTGGCGTACACTTCAAATCCATTGTGAGCCTTTACAACGCACTCTGACCCTTCAGATATTTTTCAACAGTCTCGACGATCACCTGGTGGTCCCACTGCTGCCTGAGACCGCTGACCACGATCACGCCAACTATACCCTCCACGCCCTGCACTCGGACCGGAAAACCACCTCCATGGATCGCATACTGGCCCGCCGTCTCCCCGAGCATGTATTTGGCCGCGAATCCAGCTTCATTGCCCCCCATCTTGTTGTGCATGTACCACGTCGAGCTACCCCATCGCAGTACGGTTTTGCGCTTTCGAGCGACCCAGAGATCATTGTCGGGCTGTGTGCCGGAGCGTGTCGCGGTGTGGAAGAGCAGCTGGCCGCTGTTGGCCAGACTGATGTTTATGACAGCGGGCGTCGGGAAGTCGAGCAGGCGGGCGCGTAAAGCATTGCCCAGCTCCCATGCTGTCTCTGCAGTGAAGGTGTGAAAGATAAGGGCATTTTCCACAGCCCCGATTGTTTCGATGTCTCGTGGAGGGTCGACGCAGAGAGCGGGCATGGTGGTTGTGGATAATGAAGTTGCTGATAAGATAAAGTTCACATTGATG